TTAACATAGCTTGTGGTGCTGCCGTTTCCTGTGGTAGTCTTCAAGGTTCTGACCACTGGCACTGGATTAAATTATTACATGTATCAAGGCTATTAAGTTGATGAAGTTGAGATATTTCATTTTTTACACATTTTTAGATATTTATAAGTGAACCACACACAACCAAGCGCAGCACACCGGCCTACATAGTCTTCATATTGGTTCCAGTGTATCATGGAGTCTTTCTCTGAGGCCCGGCATAGACATAGAAAACTGTTACCACAATTGATATTAAGCCCCGCCCCCTCCTAGCAATAAGACCCACCCCCTTGCATTCATCTATCAAATCGCAAACCAGTCCGGTCTAATAGAATCTATCCAAATCTAACATTACAAAATGAGGTCAGCTGACCCCTTAGGTAATCGTAACAGGACAACACATCCAGAGACACAGACTTACCTCAGTCCGATTGGCTCTCGTACTGCAAATTTTATTTCATTTCCTAGAACTTGACTGATCTGAAAACAAAAAGGGAAAGACGGTGAGACTCGCAGATCTCCGAATAATAAGGAAAATAACAGCCAACGCTATCCAGGTGTCACTGGAAGTCAGACAGTCCAAGTAAAATGTAATGAGCGGGACTGACACTGATTGAGCAGGGCTTTCAGAGTGCCTCCGTGACCTCCTAGTTCATTATCGGCACATTTAATGATGGGTTTGATTATTTTAAGCATGATAAGACTGAGGAATGATGACGTCCATCTACCATGATTGGACATCTCAATGCTGAACTCCGAGGGGGGGGATAGAAGACTCTCTGATCATTGATACATCACTAAATGGATTGCTTAATGAAAATAGCCTAAGTACCTAAATTGGAACTGGTAGCAGTCCCTGTACAGCAGAGTTTAGCATGTGGGAGGGAGAAGCAGCTACAGGAGCCAATCAAATGTGTTGCAGTACAAGGAACATGCTGATAGGAGGAGAGAGCAGAGAGAGAGAGAGAGAGAGTTGGGCTCATCAGTCTGCTGCTTCTCCTTTCTCTGTCCAGTCACAGGCTGAGTAAGGGGAAGGAGAGCTGTAAGTGAAGGTGAAACTGAGAAAAAAAAAATCAAGCCCGGTCAGACAGTATTGTACTGCGAGGTAGAGTTGTGCAAATCCCAGGAATGGATGGACTAATACAAACCCTTTAGGCAGGTAAAGCAGCTCCCGTATATGTATTGAAGACATTTGCCTGGAGATCAGCTTCAAGTCATCATTCAGTGTTCCCATGAACAACATTGTGCACCGTGCAAGATATCAGATACTGGCCGCTGTGTTCAATGAGTTAGCTTACTCATAGTGTGCAGTGTGTGAAGGAGCGCGACCATCAGGTAACACTGCAGAGCAGGAAGCAAAGCCTGCATATGTAATGAACAAACATGGCTGCCCCCATGTCCGCATAGGATTACAAATGATGCATTGTGAGAGAGGCCGAGATATGGAGAGAGAGCGAGAGAGGCCGAGATATGGAGAGAGAGCGAGAGAGGCCGAGATATGGAGAGAGAGCGAGAGAGAAATATGGAGAGAGAGCGAGAGAGGCCGAGATATGGAGAGAGAGCGAGAGAGAGAGGCCGAGATATGGAGAGAGAGAAAGAGAGAGAGGCCGAGATATGGAGAGAGAGAGAGAGAGACCGAGATATGGAG